GGGAGGGGTTCTAGGGAGAATAGAAAAAGACCTTGCCTGACACCTCAATCCCGCAGGTTTCCTGCCACTTGTACGACCAGTCCCCTGCAGCCGCATCTGCCCGTCGTTCTGGTGGTCACAGGTACTCAGACATGTGCAATGCAGGATCGGCATTCCAGCATTGTAAATGAGGGTACAGAGCACCTGCACACAAGCCGGAGCTTTGGAGAGCATAGAAGAGTGCCGACTGTGTGGGGAACAAGGGATAAGGCAAGTAAACAACTTTTTCTGTTCGCTAGAAAAAGAAAAAAAAACAAAAAAACAAAAAAAAAAACATAAAAATACTTGCCGAGAGGAGGCAGCCCCACCGCAAGGGTAACTTATTTTTCACCAAGTTCAACAAAAAAAAACACATACTAGATGGCCACATTCTATGTACAATACAAAAAATATGAACACTTGTTACATTTATATTTTTCCCCTAATAATGCTCAACATTAGGAGACATGACCGTAAAGTGTCCAAAATTATACAATGTTACCACCAACTGAGTATATGTCTGTAGTTCACAAAAGCCATTCCCAGAAGGCATAATCATACTCAACCAAGTACTAACAATGGGGCCTATTATACTAAAAGGGCAAATGACTGTTCACTAAGCTAAGGGAAAATTCACCTGCAAAGTGAATGTGAAGCTCTGCTGACATCCACCATCGAATCATGTGCAAGCAAATATACTGGAGCAGACAGAATCTGGAACAATTGCCCACAGAAACCATTCAGCTTCTCTCAAGTTTGTTCAGTTAAGGTCAAGTTTGTTCAGTTAAGGTCTGAAAATGAAAAGATATGCCGACTGGTTGTCATGGACAACTGTTCCAGATTCTGTCTGCTGCAGTTTTGATAATTCTCAACCACCCCCCGCCCCCTCACCTTTTTTCTTGCATGTTATTGAGTATTCTTTGCAAAGTACATTTTTCACCACATTCATTAAGCCAAAGGAAAAATTCCAGTGCAAAGTGATGATAGATAGATAGATTAGATAGATAATCAACCCCTATGTTTACCAAATTAGAAATTGAAATTGAGGTTTCCCCCTATACTTTTACCCTACGATCACATGATTATAGCATGCATACCACAAGCTGAATTGTTTGTTTTGGTTAAACCAGATAAAGAATGGCATTGTACAGTGTACAGTATGTCCCCATACAAAAAGGGAGATTTGTGAGCTATATAGCCTACATGTAGAACTGGAAGCAAAAGAGCAATACAAAATAACACAAGAGTTATCAGCTATCCTGCTTTATTTTTTAATCATAGCATACTGAAGAAAGGTGAAATGTGATTAGTTGCTATGGGCAATAGCGGGATACTACATGTTGACCTTTGCGTTGCCTTGAAATGTAATTAATTCAATCATGCTAAATAGCTCAGCTGATTGGTTACAAAATAAAATTAAAAAAAAGTTTAACCCTTCAACTACAAAATGGAACAAACAGTAATAAAATATTCTTGTTGATGTGAGTTTGCAATGAATGGATTAGAGTTGTGTTATAAGCTATGAAAAAAAATCCATGAGGGAAAAAAAAAAATAATACTGTGCACAGTAGTTCAAAGTTTGTTTTTTTAACTACTGTTCAAAGTATTTATTTTTTTCTCATGTATTTTATCAGTTTATAAGCACAACTCTAATCCAATCATTCCAAACTCACATCAAAAATGGTTTTTCTTTAGCTTTGCGAGTTGTATTATAAACACAACTCTAATCCATTTATTCTTAACATGTTACTACACGTTAAGAGGCTAAACTTCCCCATTTCAGGGGGCTTAGGTGGTCTGCAGCAGTAATCTCACATGACTGTTCTAAACATCAAGGGAAAAAAAAAAAAAAGAAGGAAGAGGGGAAATTTAAAATACAAGAACTGCAGGAAGAGCAAGAGCCTCTCTGCGCTGTTTAGAGCTGGCATGGGATACTGCAGCCATCACACATACAGCTCTATATCAAAAGATGATCGATCATGTAATCGCTAATCACTCAGCTCACATCCTTATCTCGTTGCAGAGATCAGTGAATTCAGTCGGTCAGTCAGTCATGCCCCCCCTTCCTCATTGTAGGGTCACCCAGGGGTGGGCATTGCTGGCTCTGTCACTTAAGACAGCCATAGGGGACCCAGACAATATAGTAAGAATATTTCCTGGCTGCAGCCCTGAGCAAAACGAAAGGGTTTGGAGTTACTATTCTATTTTTTCCTTGTTTATTATCAGACCCGTTCAGTAAAAAGCTCTTACTTGTAAATAGCATTTCTTAATTCAGAATCCAGATTCTACTGCATACAAGAATTATTCTTCATTGGATAAGATGATAATGGATCTGTAATGCCTTTGCGGATTATATAAAGAGCAAAATTCAATAGCCAGTCTTCCGAATGTTCCTATTCACTTGACTAACAAACTGCTAGCTGGTTCCAATGCTGCACTTCACACAACTCACTGCCATATTAATGTTCATACATTTAATGAAGTCCTCCCTCTCTGTATGACTTGAACATGAATTCAGCGGAATATCACACTGCAGGCGAATTATTAGATTGTTCTAAAGCAGCTCACAGGACAAGTCCTAACCATTCGTAGCATTGTTGCAATTCTGGATTTAACATGCAACACCCAATGTATCAAATACCGTATGAGAACGTAAGCAGCTAAAATGATACATTCTGATTGCTCTACTATGCAAAAGATTAAAAAGAGAGACCTTGCAGTTCGAGACTAGCACTGAGCACAAGAAAAAACATCACGAGTCATTGGTCTGGAAAATGAACATAATTGGAGTGTTCTTTATTAACAGCACTTGTAACATTTATAGGTTAGCCCACCAGGCACCCTGTACAGTTCTAATGCGCCACTGCAACGAGCATGCCGCGAGTGGGATTTACTGGTCTCAAGTCTTTTGTAAACAAGATTCTCACTGTAATGACTAAACTCAATAACCAACATGTGACTCAGCATTAGAGGTACGATCTGACAGTGCAAGACCCAGCTTTTATCACCTCATTTCCCTTTCTTGGAAAAAAAGGGAGATAAGGCTGAAGCGTGTTTTGTCAGAGATAAGCACCTCCTACTACGCTTATTTTACGGCAGTCAAACTGTAGACGTCACACAATCCTCAGGGCCCACTAAAGGATAATCCCCATCAGGCTTTATCAAGTAAATACCGCAGAGAGCAATGATGATCGCCAAAGTGGAGTAACCCCTAGCAACCGTATTTCGGTTTTACAGGAGACAACTGATTGGCTGCCATGATATGATATTGCCATTTGCCTAATTGAATAAGGCTCAAACTACACACGAAATTAATCATTCAGGATTGTAGGATTAAGCGCTTGTTGAGCCCAGGGGTCAAGCGACGGAGCAATTCCATCTCCTGTGTAGTTCAGGCCCAAGCCTTATGGTTTGAGAGCAGAATCTATTTCAAAAATGACCCATCACATCTGCAGTATAATTAACCCTGAGCATGACCCATCAATGGACCCAGAGGACAAGGTATAAAGAACATCAGCAGAACACCAAAAGCTTAAACCCATTCTGTCATTTTGGGTATATTCTACGGAAAAGGAGCCAGAACTGATGAGCTGTAGAGAAATGGCGTGACTTTACTGAAAGGAAAAGACAACTGCAGACATTTGGTACAGTAGTTGGGAAGTTTAGTGTTGCAGGCAATGGGTCAACCAGCCAGAGAAGTTCACAACATGGGTTTTTTTAGAAGCGATTTACTAAGATCTTTCACTTCTGTTTGGCTCGAGACTGTCTGGTAACCCAAAAAGTCCATAGGAGCCTGGCAATATTCCTCCACCTGTTTTATCTGCAAGAAGGAAAGCACTGTCCGCCAAGCACTGACCGCCTGGGTGGCGTTGCGGGCAGACACCACAAACGGTTTGGAGGAGTAGCCCGAGCCACTAGTCATGTTAAGGGAGAACTTTTCTATCTCTGGGCTCACCGAAAGGTTCACAAAGCCATAGACATGCCTCAGGGTCTTAATGGGATCCACCACTAGATCCTCGTATCGCACCACCATGTAGTTACCCTTGAGCCAGCTCGGCGGGTTGAACGCAGTCCTCAGCGTCTTGCCCATGCTGCTACATATGACTTCCATGGCTCCTATGGCATGATAGTCCGAGCCATCTTTCTTGTTCAGTTTGTGTCCTGGGTCAATGAAGGGAACTCTGCGGATCCTGGGGTCCCTGCTCCGGACCACCTGTAGGCTCTCTCTGATCAAGCCGTGTCTCGACTTAATCCTGGAGTTAGCCACCGCCCGGGGGTCCCTGACCAGATGGATGACCTTCAGGTCCAGGGAGGGATCCATCATTAACGGAGCCAGCACGTTGATGTCGAAGATCCTCACCCCTTTAATGACTATGGTGTTGTACTTGTGGCACTCTTCCTCCAGCATGCTCAGGCTCTGCGGGGGGCATTTCTTGCACACCTTTTCGTCCACCAGCCCCACCACGTCCTTCCTATAGGCCGAGCAGATGGGGGTAGAGCAGATGACCTTGTTGGTGGCAGCTCCAAAGATGCCCAGCGTGCTGATGTTCTTGGCCCCGGCCGTGTTGTAGAGCTGCAGGGCAGACAGGTCGCACCGGTAGAGGGCGCTCAGGAGGTCGCGGGCAGCCCCCTGCAGGGACATGGCATCCCCGGGGTACAGCTTCTGCCACACATGCCACACGGGCTCGTAGAGGAAGAAGGCATCGGGGTTCTGGTTGAAGAGCTCCCCGAAGAAGGACGAGCCGGACCTCCAGGTGGTGAAGACGTAGACCAGCTGCCTCTTCCTGGGAGGTGAAGGCCGGTACAAGTAGCGGATGTCGGAGCGGCTCTGATAAGGGGTGTACCGTACCTGCTCGTTGCATTGTTGGGGCTCCTTGTGCCATTTGTCCATCAGGTTGAGCATAGTGAGCACCAGCAGGAGCACATAGCCCAGGCACAGGATGATCGCCTTCCTGCGGAACACTTTCATCGTCTCAACCGGCGATAACGATCCTTATGTGGAGTGCGGTGTCCGGATCTGTTGCTCACCAATCGCCCCCTCCGCGGCTGCGGCATGCGAGGCGACCGGGAAAGTTTGAGTTGCGGCTCATGTCGGGGTCAGCTCCCGCTCCATATCAGTACGCTGCCTGCCCGGGGCGATCAGGACTCAGCACATTTCATCATGCGGGGATCGGAAATCCCACCAATCCCCTTCCGGAGCCCGGAAAACTTCGTGCAGATACCGTCCTCGCTGCGATGGAACAGGACATAGCCCGGGCTGTGTGATCGGTGCCCGGGTCACTGCTGCTGGCACAGCCCCGATCTCACCGGCTGCTGGAGAACGTCCTGTGTACCGGAGAGCCTCTCCGCCTTGTGTGCGGGATCACCAAGCCCTCCAAATAGCTGCCGCTCTGTATACTGCGCTGCCTCCGCCGCTCGGCTCAATATGGAGATGCTTACATTTCATGGATCGAGCTGAGCTTTCATTGGCTTGGAGAGCCGTCACTCCGAATGGCACGCCCCCTTCCTATGCTGCGCTGTTTCTATGCTTTCTGTGCGAGTCTGAATGGAGGAAACTCTTCACTCGTATGGAGAGCGGCGTGATGGCAATGTGCTGCCTATAGCACCCACCCTGCGGCATCCAGAGCAGTTCGGCAGGATGTGTGCACTCTATGCCATCCAGTCTGCAGGATTTGTATATGCTCTGTGTGCTGTCTTTGCCATCCGGTCTGCAGCATCTGAGATCAGTTCGGTAGGATGTGTGTATGTACATGCTCTGTGTGCTGTCTTTGCTATCCACTCTGCATCTTCTGAGATCAGTTCGGCAGGATGCTATAGATAGCTGGATGTGTGCAAGTAAATGTGTTCTATGAATCATTAAAAAGAGCTCAGTGTGTTCCCTGTGCCTTTCACTCTGCAGCATCTGAGATCAGTATGGCAGAATGTGCGCATGGAAATGCTCTCTGTGCTGAATATGTCATGCAGTGTACAGCATCTGAGATCTGTTCGGTAGGACATTGTACTCCCTGTACCATCACAGGGTTAATGTGCAGGGTAATAAAGGTGAAGGGTTAATATACAGGTTCCTGCAGAGGCTGCTTGGAGATCAGATATACATGGGGGGGGGGGGGGGGAGCAAACAAA